AATGTATTTTATAATTATATAATAATTCAGATATTTTCAAAGCATATTAATAAGATTCTAGACTAATCACATTATTTTTTTACAGTGTTAACATAAATATCATTTATATGATAAATACAGCAATATATATAGAATTTTGAAAATTGGAAAATGAGAGCACCACATAGGGTTAGAGAGAGAAAATGTATAATTTGTGTTTCTGTTGATGTTTATTTTGATGTTTTAATACTCCCAACATTTCCTCATACTTTTTGGGAAAATAATCTTGATAATAATCTTTGATTGCATACTAATGATTTGAAACACCAGCAGTGTACATTTTAATCAAGCTATATAATTTCAATCCGAGTTTAATTTTGGGATAGTTTTTTCGAAAGCATTACACCCATAAGCATCAACAGTAACAACAGTAACAGTTCAGTGTGACGCCTAAATGGAGAAATCATCAAATATCTGACCAAAAATATGCTACAAATATTGTAATAACATAATTATCAAATTTATTAGACTAGAACCTTAAATATTAGTTATATTATAGTTTATATCTATGTAACGCAAAACGATGCAATCGATAACAAATGATTCAATTCTTGAAACATTAGCACTTACTACTTAAATTGTTCAATTTTCTCATTAATTTATTTTAAAATATATGAATATATTTAACAATTGTAAGACTATCATTTTAGTCTATTTTTTGTTATCCATTGTCTACCCAATTCTGAGCAGCTTAAAAGGAGCATTTCGACTTTTAAGATTAAAATTCGATTTTTTCCCTATGTGGTATTGTAAAGATTACAAAAATGTTTAATTCAATCTTTTCCAATCCAAGGAGCCACCAGCTTTGGACCTACTACTCTAAATGTTATATGTAGTTATTTTAAGTTCTTACTTAGCATTTTAAAGAATAAAGAAAAAATTAATAAAATATAAGTATTGTAACGTTTTTGTTACTTAAATCACATTGTTATTACTGTGTGGTGCATTATATTAGAATATTGTAATGTCATTGAGAAATATCCAACATCCTAGGGAGGCAGTTAATGCAAACGAGGATCTATAAATTGTAAAATCATCAGTGCTAACGAAACCTGTACTGGTTACGAGGACTTAATTTTATCAAGAATATCATCAAGAATTGAATAGCCTCACCAGGCTATAGTTCAACTTTTAGGCAGCTTGATTATATCTCGTTAAGTCAAAAATTGTCACATTCAGCATATGGAACAGCGAGGTTTATTACTCGAGTCTATCATGTCAGCTATAGTCCAGTATTTGTAGTCCAATATCATATAATTTTAACTCAGTAGAATATTAGACACAATCAATAACATAAACCTATCTGAAATCATACATGGCTATAGCATTGAGGCTTAAGTAGTTTAAGGCATGAACGTCCTGAACAAATTTGCTGAGGATCTATGCTTTACATATCGAGCAAACAAGAAGTGGAGCTTCCCTGCATAAAATTATATTAAAGGAGCTCACCCAACGATGTCCAAGGAAATTACATCAACTTGAACTCTGCATTATCCCTAGTAGGCTTGCAGAAAGCTCAAGATACAGGAGTGCATAAGGCTTTAATTTGATCATCAAAACCTAGTTTTATAATACGCAACAATTACAAAATATAGCATATGATAATAAAACGTTAAACATTTTTCTCTTCTATGCTCAACATACATCTTTAAACGATTATTCACGTTCAGTGTTTAATAAACAAATTTTTTAAATGTAACTTATTCTATACATTCAAACATATTTGTGACAAGAGAAGGATTCCAATTGTCAACTTTGATTTTTGTGAAATGATAATATTTGCAAAATTAGTTGTGTTATTCAACTCTACCCTGGATAGATATTGTATGCCAATGAAGGTAAAGTTGTAATATCAGATTGTAAGACAATGATTTTTAAATATACATTACTCGTATTTTTCCATTTATTTTTCAATCAACAAAACCTTAGTTATCGAATGAACTTGAAATTTTGCATAGATAGATAATAAACCAGACTAGTTTAGAACATCCAAAATTGTGTCATGCCAATCTTAAAGACGAACTAGTCTTAAAAATATAAACAATTTAAGTTCTGTACATATAAGG